GCGCGCGACGACACGCGCGTGTGCACTTCGTCATATTCTTTGCAAGGGGTTCGTGAAACGTCTTATGCTAGAGCAAAAAATGCGTCCGCGTATTGTTTTTTTACAAGGGAACCTCAGGGGGCCGATACCCGCCCCCTGGGACAGTGTAAACTCATACTTAGGATGGACATGTGGTCACAATCATATATGATTTCCGCACCCGACGAAAGGGGGGCGGATAACGCCAGGGGGGGGGGATAGAGTTCATTCTCTTTTTAAAAAGGAGAATCTACATGGTGCAGTCTGCGTTGTGCAATCTGTGAGGTCCAAGCTACGCGGTGGAAGCTATGTGGAATAAGCTAGGCAGTGCAATCTACGTGGTCCACACTAACTATGTGGTGTGAACTCTGTGGTGCAGGCTAGATGGTACAACCTGTGTGGTGCAAACTACGTGGTGCGAACAATCACTTGCTCAACTTGAAGATGTCCTCTCCACTGCTCATGCAAACATCCCACCCAACCACCCGCAACTTGGTCGCAATACCTCTTAAGACCGTGACGGTAGGTACCAAATGGCACTTGGCAGCGACACGGATGCCGACGACGGCAGCGACAACGACGACGACGCCGTCGACAACGACTACGACGACACCGACGGCGCCTCCAACGACTTCGACGACGACGACAACGACGACGACGACGATGACAACGACGACGATGACACCGCCGACGACGACGACGACGCCGCCGCCGCCACCGACGACGACGACCACGCCAACGACGACGACGAAGACGACGACAGCGACGATTACGACGACGAAAACGACGACGACGTCGCCAACGAAGACGACGACGACGAGGGAGGAGGGAGGACGACGACGGCGACAACGACGACAACGACGAGGAGGGAGGACGGCGACGACGCGAACGATGAAGAAGGAGGGAGGACGGCGACGCCGACGACGACAACGACGAGGGAAGAGGGAAGACAACGACAACGACGACGATGACGGCGACGAAATAGGAGGGACGACGACGAGACGCCGACGACGGACGAACACGACGACGAAGGAAAAAGGACGACCACGGCGACAACGACGACGGAAACGACGACGACGCCGAAGAGGAGGACGACGACGATGACGAAGAGGAAGGACAGAGGACGACGACGGCGACGACGACGACGGCGAGGAAGGAATGACGGCGACGACGACGACGCAAGAGCGCGTGCGCATTTTTTGTTGAAAGTACATGTTGCGAAACCATGTGTTTGCATGCTTTTCGGACAGTCGATTTTGAAACCCGTCCGAAACCGAAAATTGTTGAAGGATCTTGACATGCGCGCGCGAAGTCCGTATGGTAGTGTTTTATTTTGGAAAGAAATATCGAAAACCCACGATTTTCTTCAGATTTCGCAAGAGTGCGCGCGTAAGCATTTTTTTTGTTGTACATCAGTGTCGCGAAACCATGGGTTTTTGATTATTACTATTTTTTTAAAGTTGTTGGGGAAACTCGACTTTGTTATCCTTTCGAGACCGAGAGCTTTTGACGGATTTCGGCATTGCACGCGCGACGACGCGCGCGTGTGCATTTCGTATCGTTTTTTTTGTTGTTGTTTTTTTTTGTAAAAAAAAGGATTATTGACAAAAATACGGTTTTTGATGAACGAGTGCGCGCGCATAATATTTGTTGCAGAGGATGGCGGGGGGGGCGAGACTGGTTTGGCTGGAAAAATATATATTCACATGTAAGAAGGACATTGGCTCATAATCCGATGCGATTTAAATCGGGCCCTGGGGGTCTGTAACCTCGGGGGGGGGGGGCGGTACAACTTCTGTTTTTTCTTCAAAAAAGAGAATCTATGTGGTGAAAGCTTTGCGGTGCACTGTACGTTGTGGAATCTACCTTGTGCAATTCACTTGCCGAACTTGAAGTTGTCAACTCCACTGCTCGCGCAATCATCCCACCCACCCACCCGCAACTTGGTTTGCAAAACCCATGCGGGACCGAGCACAGATATCGCTCCGGGGTCGTCTTGGAGCCCTCGGGGGCGTCTCAAGAGCGCCCCAAGAAACCCGGAGAAGCAAGACGGCCGACGACGACGACGACGGCGACGACGGCGGCGACGACGACGACGCCGACGTCGACCACGACGAAGACGACGACGCCGACGCCGACGACGACGACGAAGACGACGACGACGTCGCCAACGAAGACGACGACGAGGGAGGAGGGAAGACGACGACGGCGACAACGGCGACAACGACGACAACGACGACAACGACGACAACGAGGGAGGAGGAAGGACGGCGACGACGCGAACGACGAAGAAGGAGGAAGGACGGCGACGCCGACGAGGGAAGACGACGACGAGATGACGACGACAACGACGACGACGACGGCGACGAAATAGGAGGGACGACGACGAGACGCCGACGACGGACGACGACGACGATGACGAGGGAGGAGAAGGACGACCACGGCGACAACGACGACGGAAACGACCACGACGCCAAAGAGGACGACGACGACGAACACGAGGAAAGACACAGGACGACGTAGGCGACGACGACGACGACGCGGGAGGAGGGAGGACGGCGACGACGACGACGACGACGCCGCAAGAGCGCGCGCGCACGCTTTTGTTGAAAATCCGTGGTGCGAAGCCTTGTGTTTGTAGGTTTTTTGGACGCGCGATTTTGAAATCCTTCCGAAACCGATGGGTTTTGAAGGATTTCGGCGTACGCGCGCGACGGTGCGCGCGTCTGCACTTCGTTTCGTTTTTTGCAGAGGATTCTCGCGACAGCACACGCGCAAGGGCGTTCGACAGATTTCGACATGCCCGCGCGCGAAGCCCGTTTGGTAGCATGTTGTGACAATCTTGGAAAAAACAAATGGTTTTCTTAAGATTTCGCAAGAGCTCGCGCGTAAGCTCTTTTAGCAAATCAGTGTTGCGAAACCCTGTGTTTTTTTGAAACTCGATTGCGAAATCCTTCCAGCACCGAAGGTTTTTGAAGGAATTCGGCATGCGCGCGCGACGACGCGCGCGTGTGCACTTCGTCCCGTTTTTTACAAGGAATTAGTGAAACAGTGCTGCTAGAACAAAAAATGTCACCGCATTGTGTTTTTTGTTTTTTATAAGAAGGAACCTCAGGGGGGGATGCTGGTTGGCCTGGGACATTGTGATTTCATATTTAAGATGGACATGTGGTCATAATCATATGTGATTTACATACCCGAAAGGGGGGCGATAACGCCGGGGGGGGTAGAGTCTGTTCTCTATTAGGAAAGGAGTGGTGCAAGCGTTTCGTTTCACGCTGACCACGCGCCCCACCTCAAACGCGAGAGAGCGCACGGTTCGTAGGCCCCTGCGGGAGCCCACTCTTGCCGACAACATCCGACACGACAGCCCAGCGCGCAATGCCCGCGCGCCGACGGCACTGTGGAAGCGCCTTCGGGGCGGCGCAGGGCCCGGCAAAAATATCAGCGCTTGCGTGCCAGGACATTTTCATTTGCGGAGCTGGGCGCCCTGGCGCGGACGGCAAAACGGGAACTGCAGCGGGGCGCCCTGGCAACGCTGCTGCCGCCGCAAAAACTGCTACTTTAACGCTGGCGCCGCGCAAAGGCTGCGCCGAACAGGCTGCTCGGCGCACGCTCGCGCGCGCCGAAGGCACTTTTGGAAGTGCCTTCGGGGCGGCGCGGGGCCCGGCAGAAATATCAGCGTTTGCGTGCCAGGGCATTTTCCTTTGCGGAGCTGGTCGCCCTGGCGCGGGCGGCCGAACGGCCCCTGCAGCGGGGCGCCCTGGCAATGCGGCTGCCGCCGCAAAAACTGCGCCGAACAGAGTGCGCTGCGCACCCTCGCGCGCGCCGACGGCACTGTGGAAGTGCCTTCGGGGCTGCGCAGAGCGCGACAGAAAGATCGGCGTGCGCCTGCCAGGACATCTTTTTGCGGAGCTGGGCGCCCTGGCGCGGACGGCCGAAAGACCCCTGTGGCGGGGCGCCCTGGCAACGCGGCTGCCGCCGCAAAAACTGCTCGTGTAACGCCGGTGCCGCGCAGAGGCGGCGCCGAACAGACTGCTCGGCGCACGCTCGCGCGCCGACGGCACTTTCGAACTGCCTTCGGGGCGGCGCAGGGCCCGACAGAAATATCGGTGCTTGCGTGCCAGAACATTTTTTTCTTTTGCGGAGCTGGGCGCCCCGGCGCGGACGGCCGAACGACCCCTGCAGCGGGGCGCCCTGGCAACGCGGTCGCCGCCGCAAAAGCTGCCCGTTCAACGCTGGCGCCGCGCGAAGGCTGCGCCGAACAGACTGCTCGGCGCACGCTCGCGCGCGCCATGGGCGACATGGGCGACGTGGGCGACGTGGGCGACATGGGCGCCCACGTCGTGCCAAGGCACTTTGGAAGTGCCTGCGGGGCGGCGCAGGGCCCGACAAAAATATCGGCATTCGCCTGCCATGATATTTTTTCTGCGGAGCTCGGCGCCCTGGCGCGGACGGCCGAACGGCCCCTGCAGCGGGGCGCCCTGGCAACGCGGCTGCCGCCGCAAAAACTGCCCGTTCAACGCTGGCGCCGCGCAAAGGCTGGGCCGAACAGACTGCTCGGCGCACGCTCGTGCGCGCCATGGGCCGCATGGGCGACGTGGGAGACATGGGCATGGGCGACACGGGCGCCCACGTCGTGCCAAGGCACTTTGGAAGTGCCTGCGGGGCGGCGCAGGGCCCGACAAAAATACCAGTGTTTGCGTGCCAGAACGTTTTCCTTTGCGGAGCTGGTCGCCCTGGCGTGGACGGCCGAACGACCCCTGCAGCGGGACGCCCTGGCAACGCGGTCGCCGCCGCAAAAACTGCTCGTTCAACGCTGGTGCCGCGCAAAGGCGGCGCCGAACAGACTGCGCCGCGCAAGGCCTAATTAGGCAGGGGCCGCCCAGCACCGCGGCCAACAGCGCCCCGCCTGCTCTTCCTTGGGAGCTCTCTGCCCGCAGGCAGGCACCTCACGCCGACTCGGCCCGCAGGCCTCACGCCGACTTGGCGACGCGACGCTGGCCCTCGCCGCACTCAACTAAGTCGTCGAAGCCCACCGCCGACTGCTGGGGCTTGCCCTTGGTCTCGACGCCACTCCCGGCGCGGTCGAAGCGGACGACCGCGGCACCAGAACCCGAGGTGTGCTCAGCGCCCAGCCATAGGGCCCACCAGCACCCGCACCCTCGCGCCCCGCGGGGGAGGCCTCGCGGCACCGCCAGTGGCTCCGCTGGCAGGTGGCGCCGAAGGCGCCGCCACCAGCTCCGCCGCGGCCGCGCCGCCGAGGGCAGCCCCCCCGTTCGCCCCCAGCCCGACCATGTCGCCCTTGCACTCCCTGGACGACGGCGGTGCTCGGGCCGCACATCCGGGAGCGGCAACAGCAGCAACCCCTCCCTCCAACGCCGGCCGCGCACCATCGGCCCACAACTCGGAGCCGTCGCTGTCACACCCCCAGGCCTCGGGGGCGCGCCAGCCAGCGCCCGGCCCGCCCGCGCGCCGCGCCGCGAGGCGCAGACGACGGTGGCGGCGGCGGCGCTCCCGCTGCGCCTCCGAGGGGGCGCGCTTCGGCGCATCCACGCTGGGCTCCTCAGCGCCAGCTCCAGCCGCAGCGGCTGCGGGCGGGCGGGCGACAGCGGAAGCCGCCGCCGCCACAGCCGCACGCGCCAGCGCCCTGGTGGTGCGCCGCGGAGCCCTGGCTCCGATGGCAGCCCGGACCACCGCGTCCACGAGGGCGGCGGCGTCGGCTGCGGCGATGGCCCCTGCAGGCACCGCCATCCGCTCCGCCGGGGGCGCGCAGAGGCAGGGTGGTGCGATCGCTTGAGCCGAATGATCTACTTGTTGCAAGCTGTGTGGCGTAAGCTATGTGGTGTGGGCTATGTCGTGTGAGCTACGGCGGATGCATAGGCTAAGGAACCGTTGGGTAAGGAATCCAGGGTCTGGAAGCCAGTGAAACTCCAATCGTGGATTGGCCCTGGCTATCACCGCCGCCCTCCTCAGATGAGGAAGCCTCCGGGGCCTGAAGCCTCCTGGGCGCATTCCTTAACCAACGCCCCCACCGTACACGTCGTTCATTTCTAATCGTGATAACTTCTAATTGTGCTCGTTTCTAATTGTTCCTGGCCCCCTAGTGGCCAGGAAGAGGCCCAGGATAGAACAATTCAAAATGAGAGGATCTTGGCCCCCCAGAAACTCAAACAACCCTCGAATACTTAGAAATGAGCAATGTGTATGTGCTGCCATCACAGATGGTGCGGCGACGGATGGGAACGGGGCAGCCGGGCCCGCAGACGGGCCTTTGAATTGGGCAACGGGGGCGGCGACGGACGGGGACGGGGGCCGCCCGGCCCGCAGACGGGCCCAGTTTTTCAGCAAGGGAATGCAGTCAACCAGTATAATAAGGATGCGCGATAAGGATGCAAGGGCCTTGGACGCCCATTTCGAAGCTTTTCGAGCGGGGCGCGGCCAGCGAAAGTGGCGAAGGATGGACCGAGGAGGCAAGGATGCAAGGGTACACAGGCTGCCCATCCTTACTGTGCGGGTTGACCGTAAGGGTCCTGCACTGCAAGCGCTGCCTGGGGAGCTGCAGAGAGAGCATAGGGCAGACCCAGCTTTTGCCGCCAACGGCGGAATGCCGGAAAACATCGGGGGGGGCTGGGTCAGTCGTGGGCTGGGAGGCGTGCTGGAAGGCGCGCTGGAAACGGAACACAACGGCGCGGGTGCGCAAAAACGGCGCAGAGAGACGAAAAAACGGAGCAACAATTGAAAACGCTGAGAAAGCAAACACCAAAACACAGAAACGGCGACGGAAACGGGGAAACAACACGGCGCTGCACCTTCTCGGAATTGGGAAAGGAAACGAACCTGAAGGCAGAAAGAAGATGTGTTGCCTAAGACGCCCAAGCCCGTGACGAGGTTGAGCATCACCAGCGTGGTAAAAGCGACGTACGCCAGCATGATCACCGTGTTGATGATGTACGTGTCAGGGTCGAACGCTTTGTAGACGTCGAGCAAGTCTTTCCAATCTACGCCTCCGAAGATGGCCATGTAGAGCGCTAAGAAGGAGCGTGGGACCGATCCCCAAAACTCTTCCAGAGAAGTGTGGTCTTCATCAGGATGTTTCACACAAAGAGAAGTGTACAGCTCTGTGAAGTATATCGCCATGCAGAACATGAGGCCGATGAGCATGATGCATGCCCAGAAAAAAGAGCCTCATCAGCAAGGGTGAGAAGAGGGAAGGGGTTGCAGGAGGGCACTGGATGATGATGAAGAAGATGATGAAGATGAAGATGAAGATGAAGATGAAGATGAAGATGAAGATGAATATGATAATGATGATGATGATGATGATGATGATGCTGATGCTGATGCTGATGCTGAGGATGATGATGATGATGATGATGATGATGATGATGATGGTGATGGTGATGATGCTGATGCTAATGATGACGACGACGATGATGACGATGGTAGTGGTGGTGGTGGTGGTGGTGGTGGTGGCGATGGACACCAAGCGCCCCCCAGTGCAGTCCTTCAGGATAAACTACCGACCAACACCAGGACAGTTCAGCTGGGAAGCCTCTCTTTGCCCCAGGGACGAGAATGAGGAGGCCTATGCAGTCCACCAGCAAGAACACCATGGATCGCAGGCCAGGGAAGAGCCGCACCATGCGCAGGAAGCGCGCAAGACGGCACAGGCGGAGGATGCGCACAAAGTGCAGCTTATCCAGCGCCTCGATCGCGCCCTCCTGGCCGTCGAGGAGGGCGACGGTCACCTGGATCACCACTACGGTGGTGTCGAAGAAGTTCCACCTCCGCTCGTTTGTTTCCCCAACCCTCGTTCTCTCTCCGCTGCGCCGCGCGTCCGCCCTCACCTTCTTCCTCCTTCCTCCATCTTCCCCTCCTTCGCCCCTCTCCCACCCTCCTCCTCCTCCTCCTCCTCCTCCTCCTCCTCCTCCTCCTCCTCCTCCTCCTTCGGCACACCGTTCATGCATTTAGCGCCCCTCACAAAGCTCCACCCACACTCTCGGTGGGCGCGTCCGTACGCGCGACCATCGCCCAATGCGGCATCCCACATGTTTCGTGTACCTCAGGGTGCTTCACCTGCGGTCTCTCTGGGCGCGGTCGCATGCGCTAGCATCTAGCTCGGCACACCCCTCACACGCTTCGCGCCCGACAAGCAGCTAATGGCAACTCACTCGACTCACGGCCTCACTAGGCGCGGTCACGTATGCTACCACCCAAACTCCGGCACCCCGCTCACACGTATTTGACGCCCTGGCAGCCCTACCAACAACCTAAATGAGCGGCTCGAGTGAATCCCCCCAGAAATGCGGCACACCCATCACACGTTCTGTGTCCTGTTGGGAGCTCCACCTACGGTCTACGGTCTCAGCGTGCGCGTTCGCAAACATCAAAAATTCCTCTCCGTTAAAAAATACCAGAAATACTCCAACATGGTCAAAAATAATCATAAAATCGTCCCCAGACTATTTGTTGTATTATTTCTGAATATTCCTCCTCTAGAGGGACAGGCCCGACTTAAAAGGACGTCGGTGGAATCACGACGCAGGAAGGCGGTTAAATCAGATTGGGCTCGGGCCGCCCCGCGAGAAACCATAAACAACAGCAGCATACCACCGCCGGCTCGTGAAATAGGAATGCGCTTTCAAATATATACCCAGACCCGCTTCTTCGTGTTCTTTGTTTTCTTCTTCTTTTTCCTCCTCCTCCTCCTCTTGCTGGGCGGGATCTGGAGATCAACAATATAACCACTTTCAACGACTGCAGTGTACAAAAGGCAGGTCCACCTCCACTCGGGGCCGTGGGTGAAGCTCCTGGGCCCTGAAAGGACGCGCACGCTCAGCTCCGCCACGAACACGATGCAGAACAGCCAGTCGAAAATCAGGAAGACGAGCGGGGTATGCGACGCTTTGTTCCTTGCGAGCCAGTCCACCTGCGGCCAAGCGATAACCTCAAGCTCCTGCTTGTGCTCCTCCTCCTCTCCCCCTCATCCCCTCTTAGATCCTGCTCATCCTCTTCCCCTCTTCCCTCTTCCCTCCTCCTCCTCCTCTTGCTCCTCCTCTTCCTCCATCCTCCTCTCTTCCCTCTTCCGCCTCCACTCTTCTCTCCTCCCTCTTCCTCCTCCTCTCCAAACATGCAACGCCGCGGGCAAACCATGCCGTCATGAAGTAGCCAGACCAGATCTCTCGACCACATCTTCTCAGACCCGCGTCAACCCGTCAACCCCCTCCCAGGGCCCTGGGGCGGGGCGAAGACCACAGATGACGCGCTTCACGACGCCTCGGGCCTTGCCCCCCCCCCCCCCCCTCTCTGAACGCCGATCAAAGGGAAATCTCCTGGAACACGTTTACCAGAAGGGGCAAAAAACACACAGACACAATCAATCGTCGATTCCCCAGAAAATATGGGAAGTGGGGGGGAAAGGCAAAAACCCAGAACATATGGGACAATATGGGGAAACCTGTTATTTATGTTTATGTATGTGTGTCCCAGGGCCCCTTCAGTTTAGACAACCATCTGTGAACCATACCGCTGCATGCAAGACTTCTGAAACACTGGCGGAGGTTCAGAATATGAAGGATGCCTGCAGCCAAGTGGCCCCAGCGGGGGGGGGTCAGACAGCCCAAGCGGCCCCAGCGGGGGTTGAGCCAGCAAGGGTGGGGCTCGCAACTGGTCGGGAGATTTTCGTAGCAGACCCGGCTGTCGTGCCGACGGCCTCATCGTAGGCAAAGAGCGGCGAAGACCAGCCGTACGAGATACAGCACGCCCAAGAAAGGAGAGAGCGTGATCCACCGCCGCTTTACTATGGAAAATTGCCCCCCTTTTCCTCCGGAACCCAGGGTTCCCCCCCCCCCCTCCGAAAATCCCCCCCCCCCTGCTGGACACCCCCCCCCCTCCCCTCCCCCGGCAAACCCCCCCCCCCCTCCCCTAACCCCTCCCCCCCCCCTCCCTCCCCCTCGAAAACTGGGGGGGGTCACTACCGGTTCGAACCCCCCCCCCTCTCGAAAACGGAGGGGGTCACTACTGGTTTCGAACCCCTCCCCACCCCCCACTCCACTCACCGCCAGCAAACGACTCCCGGTCCCTACTCACGTCCGCATCACATCCCCCACTGTTGTTGTTGTTGTTGTTGTTGTTGTTGTTGTTGTTGTTGTTGTTGTTGTTGAACATTATTTATTCTAAAGAATAATTATTGTTGGGCCCCCTGGTGCGCGCCCCCCCTGCGCCGCCTAGGCCGCAGCTACATTTTCATCATTTTCGTGAGGAAGCCTCAGAAAAGAGGGTGTGTACAGGATCCGGTTGTTTTGTTGTAATCCGCTTTCCCTTGCAAAAAACAATAGAAAATGACATTTCTTGTTCTAATATAATCAAATTTCAAGAATCCCTTGCAAAAAATAAGGTAAAGTGGACATTCGCGCGCGCAAGACGAAATCCTTCCAAAACCTTAGTGTTCGCAGCGATTTTAACATAAAAACATGAAAAACCCAAATGGTTTTTCAAACAAAAGTTTCAAAAAATCATCTTGCGCGCTCTTGCGGATTTCTGAGGAAACCCAATATTTTTTCAACATTTCTGTCAAACGGGCTCTTGCGAGCAACTTTTTCACGTGCTTCGAACTTCTGCAACAACGGTTGCGCGCATGCCAGGGCCATCATCCCTGTCAAATAATACCATATTGGACACATTCGTTTTTTCTTCGCGCGCGCACGCCGTCGTCGTCGGCCGCGGGGCCCTGAATAGTAGCCACGGTCGTCCGCATGCCACGAAGTGAAGTGTCCGAACGTCATAGGGCGGGAAGCTGGGTGTGGGTGGTGGCGAAGAGTCGTATGGAAATTTGGTAGAGCTTGAACCGGCCCCCCCACAAAGTGGGGGTATTGCCCGCCTCCTATGAAAACCCTGGCACTGGTGAGAACGGAGTGTCCCCAGTCTAGTAATTGTTGGTGTTGTTGTTGTTGAACATTATTACTTCTAAAGAATAATTATTGTTGGGCCCCTGGTGCACGCCCCCCTCGCCGCGCCTAGGCCGCAGCTACATTTTCATCATTTTCGTGAGGAAGCCTCAGGTAAAACGATGTGATCCAGATCCGGTTGTTTTGTTGTAATCTGTTTTCCCTTGCAAAAAACACTATAAAATGACATTTCTTGTTCTAATATAATCAAATTTCAAGAATCCCTTGCAAAAAATAAGGTAAAGTGGACATTCGCGCGCGCAAGACGAAATCCTTCCAAAAGCTTAGTGTTCGGAGCGATTTTAACATAAAAACATCAAAAAACCAATGGTTTTTCAACAAAAAAATGTCAAAATCTCATCCCGCGCGCTCTTGCGGATTCGTAGGAAACCCAACACTTTTTAAACATTTCTGTCAAACGGGCTTTTGCGAGCAACTTTTTCGAACTTCTGCGACAACGGTTGCGCACCTGCCAGGGCCATCATCCCTGTCAAATAATACCATGCGGGACACATTCGTTTTTTCTTCGCGCGCGCACGCCGTCGTCGTCGGCCGCGGGGCCCTGAATATTAGCCACGGTCGTCCGCATGCCACGAAGTGAAGTGTCCGAACGTCATAGGGCGGGAAGCTGGGTGTGGGTGGTGGCGAAGAGTCGTTTGGAAACTTGGTAGAGCTTGAACCGGCCCCCCCACAAAGTGGGGGTATTGCCCGCCTCCTATGAAAACCCTGGCACTGGTGAGAACGGAGTATCCCCAGTCTTAAATGATTGTTGTTGTTGTTGTTGTTGTTGTTCCCAGCACCACTGTCCTCACCACCACTGTCCCCACTGGTTCCACCACCGTCCCTACTGTCCCCACCAGTGCCCCCACCTCTCTCGCACTGTCCCCACTGTCCCCACCACTGTTCCCACCACGGTTCCACTCTCCCCACTTTCTCCACGGCCCCAATCACTGCCCGACCATCCCCACTGTCCCCACTGTCCCACTGACTCCTCCGCTGTCCCACTGAGCTGTCCCACTGTTCCTACTTCTGTCCCCACTGTCCCCACCACTGTCCCCACTGTACCTCTGTCCCATTGTCCCACCGCCGTCCTCGCCACCGCCTTCACCACTGTCCCCACCACCACTGTACCCTCCACTGTTCCACTGTTGCCACCTCATTCCCACTGTCCCCACACCACTGTCCCCACCATCACCGTCCCCACCACTGTCCGCACCCCCACTCGGTTTTCGAAGGGGGTGGGTGGGGGGTTCGAACCGGTAGTGACCCCCCCCGGTTTTCGAGAGGGGGTGGGTGGGGGGGAGGGGTTCGAACCGGTAGTGACCCCCCCCCCCTTTTCATGATGAACTGGGGGGGGGGGGAGGGGTTCGAACCGGTAGTGCCCCCCCCCGGTTTTCCGGAGGGGGGGGGAGGGGGAAGGGTTCGAACCGGTAGTGACCCCCCCCCGGTTTTCCGCCAGCAGCGGTAGAACACGCTCTTTCCAAGAAAAAGATCCCCAACGGGGGCGAAGGATCTCGGGCGGGGGTGTGCGACCCTGCCCGCCACGAGCAGCCTTCGGGAGCGTTCAAGAGTTAGGTCGGGCATGTCCCCCTACAGGCGAGTTTTGGGCGACGGATCAGGAATACCCTGAAAATGCTCAAGAGGTATTCGAAAAGACAAACAACATAGTCTCCAGACTATTGTTTGACCATTCTTAAGTCTTCCTCCTGGAGTGGGACAGGCCCGAGTTAATCCGAGAGGGGGGCGTCCACGAAGGGGGCTCGCAGATCGTGGCCCGAGGCAAGTGCGCAGCTCTGGGGGAGGGGGCCACAGGGACGCAGTGGAGCAAGAAGGGGCCATGACATCTGGGCAGACACGAAGGGGGCCCTGCCCAGCCTGCTCCCCCTCCTCCCCCTCCTCCCCCTCCTCCCTCCTCCTCCTCCACCTCCTCACCCTCCTCCTCCTCCTCCTCCTCCTCCTCCTCTTCCTCCTCCTCCTCCTCCTCCTCCTCCTCCTCCTCCTCCTCCCCCTCCTCCTCCCCCCTCGCTCGCCGCCGATCCTGGAGCGACGTGCTGAACGGCACGCAAATAGATAGACGCAACTAACAAGATTCCCTATAATTTCCAATGCTTTCTGGGCTTTTGTCTCCCCCCCACTTCCCACAGTTTCCCATCTTTTCCGGGGGACCGACGATTCATTGTGCCTGTGTGTGCTTTCCCCCTCCTGAGGATAGCATGGCCCCGACCACGGGATCCCCCTCCCTGCGGCCAGGAACTTTTGCACAGCGTGTCGCAGTGGCGGCCCCGGCGATACGCCATGCCTCGCAAGCGGGTTGCGTGTCGCTCCGCTCCGCGGGTCGGGAGGCTGGGAAAGGCTCGGTACGTTGACGCTTGGGAATGGGGACGCGGACGGCGTGTCGCGCCCAAGCGTGGGGGGCAGGAGCCAGCGGCGCGCCACGCTACGCCAAAGTTCCCGACCGCAGTCATCACCCGCCTCGTGGCCGCCCCCCAAGGCTGCGCAGCGTAGCTGCCCCGATGCGCAGCGCGCAACACGTAGCGTATTGATACGGAGCTCGACACGCAGACTGAGAACGTTCGTTTTGAACACGGACACTTTGAACACGGCACGAGTTACGTTTCAAAACGTGCGTACCAGAGCAGCAAGCTGCGCGTGTGGCCAGCGCCACCCAGTGCAGCTGCGCCGGGCGCCACTTCCGAGCTTCCGGCAGGTCGCCCACACGCACGAGCGACCCTCGGCGGTGGACAAACCTCCCTTGAGTAAACCTCCCTGTCGTGACAACGGCCTGGGACCAAAACCGACGGACCTGGACCCGCAAAAAATGACGGCCGCGACGCCCCTCTCGTCGCGAACCGACAACGGCCAATCCGCTGATCGACGTGTCAGGGCAGGAGGTCCATCGCCCTCCGAGACCCCCTGGCCATCGCTCGGACGTCCATTCCCCGTGTGTTCTTGTTTCGGCTTCGTGTGTGGCTTTTCCGCGAAA